GCACCAATTTGCAGTCCCACCAGCAATGTACAAGAGTACCCTTTTCCCCACATCCTCTCCAGCACTTGTTGTTGTTTGCCTTCATAATGGCTGCCAATCTTACTGGAGTGAGATGDTATCTTAGGGTGGTTTTGATTTGCATATGAAATGTTTTTTTTTAATATTACTTAACATTTGAAAGTCCCCTTCAGATGGACCCCCTTTCCAAGCTCAGTAACATGGGCTCTGCACAGCAGCTTTTCTAACAGCCTGGGAGTGGGTGCGTAGCCACGGGGGTGTGAAGGAATCAAGGTGGCACCTAAACCCCTTCACCCACCCCCTCCCACGAGCTGCACTTCTCCAGCCTCAGCCCCAACCTGTTAGGACAGGGGGCAATGGTTCTTTTATGCCATTTTGCCCCCAAAAGGAAGGCAACCGAAGAGCTGACCTTTCTGTGTCTGCTCAGGGAGGGACCCCACTCCACCCTTCGCCCTTCACCCTGCCTGAGCCATGCCTCCTGCTCTCAGGTCTTGGGAGGAAACCCAACAGAGGACCTGGACAGGGCGTGGCTTTCCAAGCCTTCTGGGTGCCTCTATAGCAGGGGGATGACTACATTGACCTGCCGGCATCCCTGTGAACGGCAAGTAAGAGGAGGGCCTGTACAAACAGGCCAGTCCGTGGCAACCATGCTGTTGCCATGGTCCATGGGGAGAGGGACATGGGAGTGCTTGCTGTGTGGGCCTGCTTTCAGGGGATAGGAAGGTTCTGGGTTAGACTGAGACGGTGGTGGCAGAGTGTGGGGAATGTACTAAATGCTACTGAAGTATACTCCTGCAGATGGTCAAAGTGGTGAATTTTATGTTAGATGTGATTTGCTGCATTCTTTAATTGTCCAAGAAGCAGCTGCCCGAGGAGTGACCACAGCCGAGTCCTCTCACCCTTTTGAACCTCTGTTTCCTCGTCTGTACCAGGGGGCATCAACAGACCCACGCGGTGGGTGGCTGTGCAAATCCGTTGTTCCATACAGCATCGCATTCTTATGTCGACAKGCCACCTGCCTTGGGACTGCTGGAGGGGTCATGGCCATGACGCAGAAACAGCCTCTGACCAAGGCAACTCCCACGGTACATGCTTGGTAGACGCGGTCACCATGGTGATGATGCCCTGGTGATAAGCTTAGCCAAGCACCCATACCCAGTAGGAGCTCAGCAAGTGTCCGCTCCCCTGAATCCCTAGGCAGATTCCATATGCTCCTGTGTCCAAGTGGCCTGTCCCTGGTGCTATGACTCACGACCACACAGTGGACCATGGCAGATCATATTTTCAGCTCTGGGAGTCTGGTCTGAGCAATTGGGCACTCTAGATTTAATTCTGCAGGTAATTTGAACGATGCTATCTAATTTCAAATGTCCCTGCTCTTATGAGTGCAAGAGCAGCATAATTTTTAATTAGTGAGTAAACAGTAAATAATGAATGGCAGTAAGTGGACACCACTGTTAATTAAAAATCCATGGTTGATAAAAATCAATTTGGTCCTTGTATTTAACTCCGTCTATCAGGTCCTTGCAAGAAGTTGCGCAGCCCAGCCCCAGCTCATCTGCCTCCAGTTGTTTATCTAGTTAGGACTTTTCTGTGGGAGAGAAAAAGAGAGGCGGGAGAGAAAGAAAAGAAAATCAAAGTCCACCCCAAAAGCTGCAACTGAGCTAATGTCACGGAGTCATTGCTAATTGGTTAAGCTTATCTCTGCAACCTTGAAGTCCAGGCTTCGCCCGCGGCCAAGAGGCGGCTTTGTGCTCGGGGCCGGGTGTTTTCACAAAGAAGGTCCACGGTCATGTCCTGTGCTGTGCGTGCGTGTTCTGAAGACAGCGAGGCTTGACCGTATCTCACAATCTGCTAACATAATTAAATCCTAATTTCTCCCAGAAAAACAAGAGGAACCAAAACGCGCCTAGCGGGAACACAGTATCTGAGGATTCGTGACAAAAAAACGGCGTTGGTACCTTCAGGAGGGGTGCGGGGTCGGGGGAGGCTTGTTTTCTTTGGAACAGAAAGCATTTTTCTCAAAACACCGATTTTCATGAAACAATGAAAATATAATTTGCAGGGCCACCCGCTCTTTCGCTCCGAGATGCAAGCTCGGTTTTCCTACCAGGCGAGTCGGGCTGACCCCTCCTGATCCTTTTCTTCGCCTTGCTTCCATCTGTTCTTCAAATCAACACTTGCAGACAGGTTTCATTGACACCGGTGATGTTCAAATTAACCTGCAGAATTGAATCCGGGGGACCCGGCGTCTTCCAATGAAGACGCACCCAAACCTGCCAGGTGCCGACCCTGAGGCAGCCTGTCCCAGTGCAGGCTGGGGGGGGTGGGGGTGACACTAGGACAGGGCCAATGTGGATGCCTCACTGGCCCCCACATCCTGGCTCGGGCTCCCCTCAGCATGTCAGCCTTGTGCCAGGGCCACGCAAAGCAACCAGCTTCTCTCTTCCAAGGCCTTTGCTCCGCTGCCTTGAGCAGCTTCAGGTACCTTCACRACAACATGTCCGTGGGAGGACACCTTGGCCTGGATTGGCTCTTTTCTTCCATTTCTCCAGTTTGGCTGATTGAAACCGAGGGGCCAGTGGACCAGAAGAACATTGTGTGTGGGTCCTGGCTTTGTCACACGTGAGTGTCACAATCCCCCTCCTGCTGGGCCCATCTGGATGAGCCCGTTGGCCTGCTCGAGGAGAAGGACCACACTCTGGCTCTTGTGGGGACCGTGAAGCCTCAGACCGGATGATGTGCGCGCACGTGCATGAAGTCCAGCCTTGTTGTCATCGTCCTTGTCATCAGCAGCCTGACTTGGGCTTTCTCAGCTGGGCATGGGGACCCCACAGACCCTGACTGGGACTCCCAACCTCCCGGGGGGAAGAGGAATTTGCTCCACTTCATTTTTCTGAGAGGTCACCGGGGCCCGGCAAGCTTGGGGCCCCCGTTTCCAATCACACAGCTCCAAGAGGGCAGTGTGGGGCCTCGTGGCCCCCCAAAACCCCAGATGGGAAAGTACAAACACTCACAGGGAAGAGGGCAGAACGTGCTGACCAGGCACCTCTCAGCTCATGACCCTTCCCAGGGCCCTGCCTGGCAAAGTCTCACCCCCTGGGCTGAAGCCCTGGAGACTCAGCTGCTCCTGACCCACTTTAGCCACTGCTCAGAGGAGGACAAGACAGGACAGCAGCTGCAGCAGCCGGTTGGCCAGGGTCGGGCCCCATGAGCACAGCCCGATGCTGCAATGCTCGGATGTGGCTCCTGCCAAGCTTCCCACAGCATCCCGCCATCTGGGTTGCCTCAGCCTCTGAGTGAGGATGACAGTTTCTGAGGGACTTGTTGCTCTTTAGCAGCTGAAGGTCCTGGGTGCACCTCATAACAACTCCTGGAAATCATAGTGGCCATCCCACGCCCTGGCTCAATGATTGCAGGGTCAGGGCCGAGCACACGGGGGATTCCCCAAGAGGACCTGGAGCCCAGTGCAATGACTCTGCTGCTCACAACCACCCTCTGACCACCTCCTTCCGAGACATTTTAATTCCTGCCTAGGATTAGGGATGAGGCTGCAAGGTGGCCTTCTACAGGGGCACTGGGCCTGGCTCCTCAGATCTGAGTCCTCCTTGTCCGGTACTGCCCGGGGGGGGGGGCTGCAGAAGGGTAGGGCTTCTAGGAGTCTGGATCCCAGAGCCAAATTTTCAGAGGCTTCCCAGCTTAAGAATCTGGGCCAGCCTCCCTCCAGGAGGCCTGCATTCCAGGGTGGTCACAACTGGGAATCCAAGGGATGAGTCAGAAAGCTGATTCTAGGAATTCCAACATGCAGAGTACCTCCAGAACTGGGGGCAGTCTAAGGGGTGCTGGACCACCTGGTGGACAAGGTGGAGGTACAGGCAGGGAAAGGGGAAGGGTCACCCTGGGGAATGAGGTGGAGGTGCAGGCAGGCTATGGGGCTTCCTCTGGCCTCCCAAGCTACAGCCCTGGGTGGAGGTGGGGAGGAGGGAAGGCAGGTGGTGTATCTGGGGTGTACACATCTCTGATCCAGATCTGTCTGGTTTGCAGCTGGCACCAGAGAAGTGACCGGGGAAGTGAGAAGTGGCCACCTCCGCTGGGAGCCCCCTTGCCAGCCACCCACGCCTGAAGGCGTGCCCATTACTGCAGTTCTGCCCCCCCGCCTTGATGGCCCCTGGATCTCCACTGGGTAAGACCCGCAAGTCCTCACAGACCCCTAGGCTGAGGGACTTCTTCTCCGAGCCTCAGTGTCCATATGTGTGCACACAGTGTACCCAGTTCCCAAGAGGTCTGGTAGGGGCTAAGCACATGGCTTACCTCCCCTCTGCAGACGGCACCTGGGGGCAGGGACTGTTGGAACATCACACCCCTGCCAATGACAGCAGACCAGGAGATGCGTTCATTCAACACATGGAGCCCCGTTATCTAGATACTTAGAGAGTTCCTGTTGTGAGCTGGGCACCAGGGCTCAGCAGTGGGGCATGTGCTGAGTACCCAAACAGAAACAATTGATAGCAACTTGAGATGGTGCCGAGATCTGCAGCGAAAGAAATAAAACCAAGGCTGTAAAGCAAATGACCTAGAAGCCTTCTCTAGGGGGTGATATTCTGCTAAGAGCTGAAAGAAAAGGAGTCTGCCCTCCAGAGAGCCAGAGAGAGGCCCAGCAGAGGGCACAGCTGGGGCAAAGGCCCTGAGGCTGGAAGTGGCAGGCCAGAGAGCCTGGTGTTCCCATGCTGGTCTCCTCACTGACAGGCTCCACTGACGTTTCAGAGGCTGGTGGCCACTCTGAAGCCCTGGACTCTGTGCTGGGCCCTCATCTGGGGCCCACAAACCTGCTGCAGCCAGCTGAGCTCCCCCATCCCAGGGCTGGGGTAGAAAGTAGGACAGCTGTGGCCTCCTCCTCCTGCATCCCTCCTGATGTGCCCCCTGGTCAGTCCCATTCTGGGGTCAAGGACTGGACTCTCTGTGTCCTCCATATGCCTCCTGAGCTCATGGAGAAACCCCACTGCCAAACATCTGGTAGTGCTTTGCGGGGAGGGAGCCTCGGGAGTTCCACAAAGCCACTCAGACTCTTCCCAGGCTTTTCCGGGGCTGGCTCCTCCGCCCTCCCCAGTCCAGGTGGGGTCCAGGCAACACCGTCAAGGCCACTCTAAAGCCGAACCAGGGCATGGGGAGGGGACACAGGTGTTAGGCTTCTCCTTCCTCCAGGTAACAGCACTCTGGAGAACCCAAGGGATGGGTCAGAAAACAGATTCTAGAATTCTAGAACTTTCTTCCTAGAAAGTTCCCTGATATGTTCTCAAGGCAAGCCCTGATGCTTTCTGGGAGGAATGTGGAAAAGATTCTGGAGTCTGGGACCACCAAGACATCCAGTGTGACCTGCTGCATCCCTTGGCCTTTGGGGTGTGGGCTCCCCTCCCCATCTTTAACCACCACCTGTTCTGGTACTCATTTGCTATTTTTCTTTAAACCAACTCCCTTTATTTACTTAAACATAATCACTCATTTTTACAGCTTTATTGAGGTATAATTGGCATACAGTAAACTGCACACATTTACAGTGTAATATAATTATTTTTAAAGGAAGCACAATATCACCCCTATACGAAGAGCAGAGCCACCTGCCATAAATAAGAAGTAACTGTAAAAAGAAACTCAATGAAACAAAACAGCATAATTAGATTTGCTCTAGATTCATGGCCTACCTAAGGCTCCAAGTCTGTTCTTCACTGGGAAAAAAAAAAAAAAAAAGGTTGGTGTTAAAGTCACGCCAGCTCCTTTATCCTTGATACTAGCAGAAAGATTGAAAGAAAAGAAAGGGAAACCGTTTTCTTGCTGGTTGACAACATATTTCTTCTGCTCCAACAGCCCCATTATAAAATACCAAGAAAACAGGGGCATGGGTTGGAGTCCAATTGAGCAGTGTACATCCACCCATTGCCCAGTGGGGAAGTCCCAGAGGCCTACCCTGCCCAGCCGGGGGCATGGCGGTGGGTCTGGGAGCCAGGTGGCTTTCCTTTCCTACCCTTCCACTCTGAACTTGTTTGCATCTCCAGTAGAATTGAGCCTGGGGGCCGAGGCCTACCCACCAACTGCTTCTGTAAAGAAAGTTCTGTTGGTACACAACCAGGCCAATGCACTTCCATGTCTATATCTGCTTTAGCTCTACAACTGCAGTCATAAGTGGCTGCCACAGAACCATCTGGCCCACCAAATCGAAGCTATGTATCGTCTGATCACTTGTTCCTGCACCCCTCATTCGCTGGCCAGGACATAGGGTGGGGGTGCCGGAGCTCACTGGGAAGAGACAGGACACAGCCTCCCAGAACTCACAGAGCAGCAGGTCCCGAGATGGTTGCAAAAGCCCCCTGTTGTTAGGCCCGAGGTTAGGATGAAAGAGGAACTAGAAAGATCCGACAGTGGGTGGAAGGTCCTAACTCACCCCAGCAGTGAGGCTGACCCAAACAAGCCAAGGAAACTGAAGTGTGGGGGCCAGGCCAGAAGTGGAGGTTGGGGAGGCCAAGCCCAGCCCAGAGGACAGAGGGCCCCAGGACGCGTTCTCACCTCTCCACCCAGCACCCATCTCCTCCCCACGGCAGCTGTGAGGTGCGACCAGGCCCAGAGTTCCTCACCCGCTCCTACACCTTCTATCCCAACCGCCTCTTCCGGGCCTACCAGTTCTACTATGGAGATGCCTCCTGCCAGCAGCCAACCCACTCTCTGCTCATCAAGGGCAAAGTCCGCCTGCGCAGGGCCTCCTGGGTCACTCGGGGTGCCACCGAGGCCGACTACCACCTGCACAAGGTGGGCATCGCCTTCCACAGCCACCGTGCCCTGCTCGATGTCATCAGACACCTCAATCAAACCCAAGCCATCCAGGATTGCATGGGAAGGCTGCCCCCAGCCCAGGCCTGGCTGCCAGGAGCACTGTATGAGCTGATGAGCACCCAGACCCAGGGGGACTGCATGGTAGCACTGGGCTTCAGCATGCATGAGCTCAGCCTGGTCCGTGTGCAACGCAGCCTGCAACCACAGCCCCGGGCTGCACCCCAGCTTGTGGAGGAACTGTACCTGGGGGACRTCCACACCACCTGGGCGGAGAGGCATTACTACAGACCCACCGGCTACCAGCGCCCACTGCAGAGTGCCCTGGTGAGTCTGGGGCCCTGGGTGGGGAGTTTTGGGCCCACCCAGAAGGCCCTACATGACCTGGTCTCTACCAAAGGTCCTTTCTGCCCTGTCTCGTCAGTGCCTGTTATTGACCCTGGCTTCAGGAATTTGGATATGCCATGGCCCCTGCTTGAGATTTCTCTTTCCAGGCCTTCACAGAAGGACACGTGTTCAGTCTTCCCCATCTGGTCTTCCACAGTCCCTGCACTCCAGACTTGGTCCTCATGGGCCCTGCTGATCTCATTTCTATTCTTACGGGGCGGGTTTTCTCAGCTCAAATGTCCCTTCCAATCCCCGCTCCACATATTTTCCAGCACAGAGCACAACCCGGAGCTCTGCTGGCCCTTTTCCCCTTCTCCTTTGCCTCCTCACTGTGGTACAAAACCCTTCACAAGGGTGGGGCCAAAGCACAGAGTCTGGCCAACAGATGCTCAGGAATAAACCAAAGGGGCATCTTTCCCCCTTTCCTCCTGGGGCTGCTGCATACCCTCTGGATGCCACCCTCAGAATCTCATTGTGGACCTCTCCCCGGACCTGGAAGCAGAGCCACAGACACACCCCCTCACGCTAACTTCAGGTGGAGTTGCATCAATATTGCCCCCCGGATCTGAGCATCTGAGAGAGTGAAGGTCGGGCAGGGTCTGGGGTCCTGTGTTTCTAACATGTATCCTCATGGTCTGCATTCTGGGTGGGGAGGCCCAGTCTAAAATGAACTGATTTCTGTGAGATGCAGCCCCAACTCCAGAGTGAACTTCCCTGAAGCCCATCAACCTAGATTATAAAGGAAGCCATTTCAAAGGTGCCGCCCTAATTTGGAGAAGTTTTAGTAGCTTTTTTTTTTTTTTTTTGGCTGATAATCAAACAGAAAGAAAGTTAATCTTAATTGCATTATGTATTCCTGGCACATAGCCAGTACAAGGGTGGTCCTTGTGACCTTTTCTGTCTCCAAGTCCTACCTCTGTGGTGCAGGTGAATCCTAAGGTTCTCTCCCCACAAAAAAAAAAAAAAAAAAACTGTCTTTAAAAACACAAGATGAAATGCACCTGATTTAAATAGAAACCCACCCCATTAAAATAGTTCCTCAATCTTAAAACCCGAATGTGCTACACGGGAGCACGAAGAACAGGAATTCTTTCTTCACCCTCATGCCTGAGCAGTGATGGGTGTCAATGATACTTTCTGTATCTGTGACACTGATCGAGGGACATTGGTGACAGAGGTTCAGCAGATGTTACTGGGGTTTGCTGCCTACATTCACAACAAGAAGAAAGGTTAAAAGTTAGTGGATGTGAAATTAGTATAGGACACTGGGTCAGGAACTTCGGTCCAAGGCACTCAGCATTTTCTGAAAGTGCAGATGAAGAGGGAGGGGAGGATGGAGGAGCTCAGCATCCCTGCCAAGTACCCTTTGAACTCTTAGGCCACCCTCACATCATTTAGCATATACTGAGTGCTTACTGTGTATTTGACACTCAAGGAATTAAACTAGATGGGGAAACCTCTCACCCCTGGGAACAGCAGTTTATCAGAGTCCCCAGGGGTGGCACTGGGGATGCGACAGACCCCAAATCCAGCCACTCTCCCATCTCTCTTTCACCCCCTCCCCCAAACCCAGGATCTGGGTAGCAGAGAAGGAACCCAACAAAATTCTTGTAATCAGAAAATCAGCCTCAGAGTTCCTTGAGTGACCTCAAAATCATTCCCTTTTTGGCAACCAATGTTCCAGACGGCTCTGGCTCAATCCCACTTAGCAAACCAGGGCAAGGCGGTGAGTGGCTTGCGGCCTCCCCCCCCCCCCACCATCAAGAGGGAAAAGGCAGACCCCTGAGGGCTACAGGGGCTAACCAGTTCACCTGTCCCCAGGCAGACTTCTGGGGCCATCGCCATCCCTGCCCTCCCTGCTGCCTGGCCAGTCCTGGTGGCCTATGCAGCCTGAAATGTGATTGAGAAGCAAGACACAGAAATGTGGGCACTGCCGAACAGTGCCAGATGTACAGGCATAAAATTAAATGTCCGCTCACCAAGCCCCCTTCTGAGGGGGGAGACAATTTCAAATAAGGAAATGCTGCAGATAAATCCCCAAATAACGAATTAGTCATTACCTTATGCTCTCTGGGGCCTGAGCCTTGCCCACAACCCAAACCAGATGGTAAACATGAACATTTTTAGAAGTTAATTTAAAACCAATTTGATCCCCAAATTCATTGCCTGTATATAGAATCCTAATCAATCAGCCAACACTCAACCAAAATCATCTGAGCCTGGTGTCACCTCTGGGGGTTAATTAGAAACTGTTATGTGCTGTTTGAGAAATAACTTTATGTAACAGGCACAGGCCAGTAAGAGTTTGGCTTCCGCACAAGTGTGGATTCTGCTGGCTGGGGGCCTTGTATATTAACACCTGAGACTCCAGAGCACTGCAGAAGGATGTCTGGGAAATGGTCTATGGGGGACAGGACCCTTCAACATCTCCCACGGAAGAAATGCCTTATCGTTCAGCTCTCTCACCTTGAAAGCTTGCTGACTCTCAATTTGTCTCTGCCAATTAGCACCCCCACCTACCCCCCGTGGGGGGGTCAGCTCTGGGATTATTTTGATGTAAAGCATTATGTCCTGTCAATGTACATTAGTGTGACAAAAGTTGGAATTCAGGTTAAAATGGCTCAATTAGAGTAGAGACTTAGCAGTCAGCATCCCAATAACCAAYACTCAGGCTAACTCTTGTATTTGCTTTTTCCTGTTGCAAACATTTTTGCAGTCATGTCCTAGCTTTTCAAAGTGTCTTCAAACTCTGGGTCAAAATCCCCCAAGCTGGGCTGGAGTTGTGGCTTAGTGGTAGAGCACTTGCCTAGCATGTGTGAGGCCCTGGGTTCAATTCAAATAAATGAATAAAATAAAGGTTCATCAACATCTGGAAAAAAAAAAAAAAAATATATATATATATATATATATTCCCCCAAGCCAAGGCAGGCACAGTGATGCACACCTGTAATCCCAGCAGCTGGGGGGGGGGGTGCTGGGAGGCTGAAGCAGGAGGATCACAAGTTCAAAGTCAGCCTCAGCAATGGCAAGGTGCTAAGCAACTCAATGAGACCCTGTCTCTAAATAAAATACAAAATGGGGCTGGGGATATGGCTCAGTGGTTGAGTGCCCCTGAGTTCAATCCCCAGTGCCCCCCCAAAAAATCCCCCAAGCCAAAAATGGTATAGTCTCCTATATTACGGAAACCAGRGGAAGTTTGAGTTCAATAAGGATTAAGTAATAGCTTTTAAAGTATGGCAATCCAAAACAAGAAGAGCCCTGGTTCTCAGTCATCTGGTATTTTCTTTCTAAACCAGAACTTCCCTATGCCACTTGGTTGGCATGAAACTCACCCAACTGTAATGTGTGGGAATCTTGCAGGGTTTTTGCATGAAAATATATACTAAAGCTAACTTCACAGCCAGGTCCTCAAAATGCCCCCTTTCCCTTGGACCCAGACCCCAAGTTTCCCTTAGGAATGGCAAAATGGGTGTTTGCTAGTTCCCTGGTCAGCTTTGACAAGTGGCTGTTGCAAAGCCATGGACCTTTCAGAATGATGCTCTTGGCTAAATTCAGGCAGCTCCCTTTAAGAAAAAAGAAGATATGTGTATCTGGTTCCTTTTTGGCCTCTACTGAGCTTTTTCGCTCCAAAATTCAGACTGACTACTCCCACACAATTTGATTTAGCGTCTGTTTCCTGTTGACGTGTTTTACTGTAAACCAACCTCTGGAGAATCTGTAAGGCCGGACAACTGTAAATAAGACCTTAGAGAGGAAATCAGTTCATGGCCTGGGGCAACAGAGGGCTGAAAACTTGGTGTGACTGGTTTTCCCACTGAAAATTGCACGGGAATGAACATCTCTGAGCAGCTCTTGATGACTTCCCAGTTACCCCCTTGGCACCACCTCCAGCATGAGGGTTCCTAAGCACAGCTGTTTCAATGGCTTCTGATCTTGGTTGCCACATTCGCTGTCCAAGGGGTGATGGAAGGGTGCTCACCTTCCAAGGCGAGATCTCTAAAGACAAAAAGTACTCTTTCCTCATGAGGAGATACAAACTACACTGAGGTAGACCCAGACAAGCAAGTTGTGCAGACAAGCAAGTTGTGCGGGGCTGTGTTTCAGCTCAGCTCTACCCCTTCCTGCCAGGGCAGCTGGAGCAGACCCCTCCCCACCCACCCTCTAGGTCTCAGCTGCCTCTGGTTTCCTGTGCAGTGGTTGCAGGAGCCATTTAGCATAGCTCTAGCCTCRAAGAGCCAGGAGTGAGAAACAAGATGGGCTTCAGTGGTCCCATTTCAGGGCCCAGCCGGCTGGGTGTGAGGGAGACAGCTTCTTCTAAACCCCAAGACACAAGGCCCACGAGGACTTTCATGCGTTTCTCGCTCATTCATGCACCAAGCACGTTTGCTGTGAGCCAAGCACTGTGCTAGGTCCTGCGGACAAGGAGACAGACCCAGCTTTTGGGTGCTTACTCATGGAGGAAGAGGGTCAGAGGAGGCAGGAGAAAGTAGCAGGGAGAGAACAAAAGGGGACAGGGGACAGCCTCATAGGGGCTCGCTGGGTCTGGAGAAGCCCCTCAGGGACCTCTTCTGAGCTGAAACCCGCAGAAGAGCTGCAAACTTTTCCCCTGGGAGCTCCAGGTAGGAAAGTCAGCAGGCTAAGATCCTGGGCAGGGGCCCTACTGCTCACTGGGGCCAAAGGTCAGCAGTGAGACCCTCTGGCCGGAGGTAAGCAGGTTAGGAGGGGGCTGAGCACCGAGGGGCCAGGCCTCACCCACCTTGTCACCAAGTCCTCAAAAGAGGTCTCTGTTCCTCCCCTGCCAGCACCACGCGCGGCCCTGCCCGGCCTGCCAGCTCATCGCGCGCGCTGACGAGCGCCACCCGCCCGTGCTGCCCGCCCCGGTGGCCCTGCCACTGCGCCTGGGCGGCCGCTGGGCCAGTGCGGGCTGCGAGGCGCGCCCGGCCGTGCTCTTCCTCACGCGGCTCTTCACCTTCCACGGCGCCGGCCGCTCCTGGGAAGGGTACTACCGCCACTTCTCGGACCCCGCCTGCCGCCGGCCCACCTTCACGGTCTTCGCCGCCGGCCGCTACTCCAGGGGCACACCGTCTGCCAGGGTCCACGGCGCCACCGAGCTGGTGTTCGAGGTCACGCGAGCCCATGTGACTCCCATGGACCAGGTCACCGCGGCCATGCTCAACCTCTCCGAGCCGAGCAGCTGCGGGGGCCCCGGGGCCTGGTCTGTGGGTGCCGAGCGGGACGTCACGGTCACCAATGGCTGCCTGCCGCTGGGCATCAGGCTCCCGCACGTGGAGTACGAGCTTTTCAAGATGGAGCAAGACCCCCGCGGGCAGAGCCTGCTCTTCATCGGACAGAGGCCCACCGACGGGTCAAGTCCAGACACCCCCGAGAAGCGCCCCACTTCCTACCAGGCACCCCTGGTGCTCTGCACGGGGCAGGCTGGAGCCGCCCCCAGGTCCCTGCAGCCCCGCGGAGGGGGGCCGTGTCCTCCTGACACCCCTCTCGCCCTGCTGCTCCTACTCCCAGAGCTGGCCTTCCTCCAGTGGYCATGACATCCTCTTAACTTCCAGACCTTCTCTGGACTGGGCCACCTCCGGAAGGACCAGTACTTCTCTGTTGTGGTGGCCACGTGGCCCCAGGGCTTCAGCAGGCAGCCTGTGTCCCAGAGGCCCAAGATATGAGCTCAAGGGCACCTGCAAAGTTGGGGCCAATGACCACACTCTGGGATATGGTGGTCATGTTCGTGGCTACACGACTTTGACTTTTCAAACAAACCCATGCTCCTGTTTGGATGGTCTCCCAGCAGGCTGGAGCCAGAGGACCACCCTGAGGCTCACTGTCCAAGAGCTCCCTGCCCCTCCCTTCCTGGCCCTTGAGATTTTGAGATGGGAGCGAGAGCCTGAGATGGTGCCTAGGGACAATGCCGCTCACTGCTCTGCTGAGCCTTCAGGCTGTTGTTGAAAGTTTATTAATTCAAATTTAGCAATACAAACTCAAAGCGGGGCCATGAATTAAAGATGCCACTTCGGGCTTCCAGAGCTTCTCAGCTTCCTGGCAAAGGGCCTGTCTCTTAGGGGGCCACTTGTCTTTCTTGAGTTCTGACTGCTGGCATTTGTCTGCATCTGCCTGTGCTTCTTCGAGTCAGACCTCAAGCTGTCAACACTTCGTGTGGATAAATCCACTTCTCCAGAGCCACGTGCAAGCAAAGAGGGCTCCATTTGAGCTGAGAAATGTGGCCTCCCCTGGTATGCTTTAGCCTCTGAGCCTCCCTCACCCATGCAGAACACCAGTGAACACTGGGCTGGATGCCGGGGGCACGTCTGTGGAGGAGAGCAGTGTTCCAGTCTTTGGAGAGTAATTAATACTAATGCTAGCAGCAGCGCTAACATGCTCTGTAATTAGCCCTGCACCGCTGTCCTTGGCCTTCCAGATTCCCTGTGCCAGACTGATGGGGGGCAACCTCCCGAGTACACAGCTCTGGGACCACCCCAGGGGGAGCTCAGCATCACCAGGCTACATGGCAACACATGGAGGCCAGGACCCAGGAAAGTCAGCCCCTCCCAGCCCCCTCGCTGTGGTGCTAATATACTGGTGTCCTTCTCAGCTCAGAGAGGGCTATCATCACGGTGGGGACAGGCTGTGCCTCTTCAGGAACCCTGCCCTATGTTCCCAGGGCCTCATCTGTACACTGTGAAATTAACTGGTATCCTGATGGGCTCAAGGGTTTGGGGGACTGTGTGCGGTTGATTCACCCTCTCCTTCCTCTTCCCTGTTCCTGTCTCTGGCTCTTATTGCAAATTTTGATCAACAGTCACTCTGAGGCTAACGATGCTTTTAGAGGGAAGCCCTTGTCCTCCCTGAGATTGTGTGGGTCTCAATCAGCCTGCTCAAATTGCTCTAACTTATTATCCATTCTTCTTTTCAAAAAAAAAAAAAAAAAAGAAAAAAGAAAAACCACCAAGTTAATATTCTGTGTGGGTCTCAGAGAGCTACGGTGTTCTTGGCATATTTACCAAAGTACAAGAAATAATTAGATTATTTACAGTCTTCGACTACATCTTGGTGGGGGGAGTTCCCGGTGGGGATGACAGTGGGTGTCGATAATATGTCCATGGCTGAGCAAGTCTTGTATCTGAGGCTTGAAGCAACCATGCCACTATTTATCATCAAATTTGAATCTTTTAATAAAATTAAACAGCCTGAAAAATGTTCTTGCTGGTTATTAAAGTCAACCAAGGGGATTATGGTTCTAAAGAAAGGAAGTGGAGTGCCTTCCAGAAAACATGTGAAGAAGCAGCCAGTGGAGGTGAACTCCTGCTTGGCCAGCTGTGCCCTCCTGCTATCCCTGCCCTGCCTGGAGCTCCCCGGAAAGGGGAGGAAGCTCCAGCTCCAACTCAGGGGGTACTGCAGGGTTCAGCATGGCTCCCACACCCTGGCCATGCTGGCCCGCTTCCTTATCCATGTACACCGCCAACACTTCTCCCAGCCCTCAGGTGCTTGGCTCTTTCCTTTCATTCAAGTCTCTTGGATGAAATGTCACTCCCCCACCCACCACTGGCATCCCAAAAGAGCAGCCCCCTTGTCCCTTGTCCTTCCACCTATTGTCCCACCATTCTGTTTTATGTTCTCTATAATGCACTCTGACCACTGTCTGAAATGTCTTATTTATTCATGCTTATTCTCTGCCTCCTCCGCCTAGAACGTGAGCTCACAGGGGAAGGCAGAGTCCACGTATGGCCATCTTTCCAGTGGGTCAGGAGCCTGCTGGAAGGAGCCTCAGTAAACATGGCTAACAAGATTGGTGATCCAGGGGCTGGGATGGTAGCTCAGTGGTAGAGCGCTTGCCTTGCACGCGGGAGGCCCTGGGTTCGATCCTCAGCACCACATAAAAATAAAGAAACAAAAATAATATTAAAAAAAAAAAGGTTGGTGATCCTGGCTCAGCCTCACACTGAGACCTGTGAACAGGCCACCACCACAGGGCAGGTGCTACATCACTCAGGAGGCCCACCTGAGTCAGGCAAAGGGATCGATCCTCAGCATCTTGCACAGGACACGAAGGCTCAGAGAGGAAAGGCACTGGCCTAAGATCACACTGTAAAGAAAGACCAGGGATCTAAACCTGAGCAGCTAGACCCCAGAGCCAGAGATCTGGGCCTCCATTTCTCGGTTTCCAGGTTCCCAGAGGGAGTGGGATTTCCTGCTGTATTTGGGGAAAGCAATTGGGTGGTATTTCATGGAATCTGGCAGGAGCCATAGCCCCAAGAGGTGGGCTGAGCGAGACACGCTTCCTGGCTATCCTCAACTGGACCACAGGATGAGGGCTCATCTCAGAGGCAAGGGGTGGACACCCAGCCTCCAGACCCTTTGCCCCCATCCCTGAGTCTCAGCCTCCATGTAAACCTGGAGGGAGCTTTGCATCCACAGAAAGGAAGAAGGCCCAGAGTCCTAATTCAAAACAAAATTAATGTTCTCCATTGTATGTGCAGTCACGTTTGGGGTGGGGGCAGCCCATGCAGTTGATAATTTCATAGCCCAACTCCCAGGAGAGTAAATGAGCTTTTTTTTTTTTTTAATAAAAAGTTTAAATTGCATACAGCTCTCAGAGGCCCATTAACTAACAGATGCTGGTTATCAGAAGAAGTTATTTCCCTGCCTTTCTCTAAGCGAATGTGTTTAATCTCCCAGCGGTGCTACTGGGTGAGAAGCCGAGTGTGGCTGGGGACTGCAGCCCCCGCGTGGGCCCTGCTCTGTGCGTCCTCTCCTGGGAGCCTGGTGACTCAGGCAGRCTGGAGCCTTCTGACGCAGAATGTGGAATTGCATTAAGGCCATGGCAGGGGCCGCTTCACAGCCATTAGTGTCACAGACAGGGGCCGGGAGGGAGGGGCTGTTCCTTCCTACAGGGGGTGAGCTCGGGCAGCAGGCTGGGAGCTCCAGTGTGCTCTGGATGTCCCTTAAGTGACAGGAGGCCAGTTCTTCTGCATACATGAAACCCACCCCCCACTAAATGGATTGTGAAGATGAGTAAATTACCTGTCGGCATTCCTGAGAGCTAATGTTCCGGGCTTCCAGCAACCCCTCCTCCTTCCTCGCCTGCTTGCTATTCTGTAGCCAAACCTGCCCTGCCCAGCGCTCTGCACCCACCTCCCCTGCCTCCAGCCAGTCCACACCTCAAGTTCTCTCCATCTTCATCAAGCATTTATTGGTATCTGAATCTAAAATGTCCATCCATTCCTTTTCTCTCCTTTAGACTGAGCTCCTTGACAGAGGTCCTCCTCTGTCCTGTTCCCCACAGGGTCCTGCAGTCCCAGAAAATGGTGCCTGGCACATAGTAGGAACTTAGCAAATAGGAACTAAATGAATTAATGCTTGGAACTCAACCGTCAGGGTGGGACTCACACATTCTAGATGCTGGCTTGGAATTCTGATGTTGCTTCCCCACCCCCACCCCCGCCCCCAGTCAGAATGTCAGAGCAGAACCCAGGCATGTGAACTTGAGGGTGTCTGTTTTCTACTGGTCAGGCGGTACTGAGAACTGCTGTCCCTGAGTAGGGGTACACAGGGCCTGGCCTCAGGTCCCTAGGGAGTCTATCTCAAGCCCCACATCATACTGGGAGATCGTCCAYCCTTGTGGGAACTCAAGACAAAAATCTCTATCCTTAGCTTTGAAGTGCCCCTTGTCATCAGTTTCTCATGAGCTGAAACCTGATGGTTTCCAGGGCTGTGGTCTTTATTTCCTCAGGGTTACTGACAACCTGCTTCTATCCAGCACTTGATTTTTTTTTTTTTTAAATCCCTCTGAAGAAGAAAAAAGTAAGAAGACATAGATGGTCACTCCTTCTTTTAAAGTCAGTTGTGGGGGCTGGGGATGTGGCTCAAGTGGTAGTGCACTCACCTAGCCTGCATGAGGCACTGGGTTCCATTCTCAGCACCACATAAAAAAATAAAATAAAGATATTGTGTCCACCTAAAAAACTAAAAAATAAATAAAGTCAGTTGTATCCATTTAGTGAAACCCCCACACACTGAGCACAGCCCGGCTCCAGGGGCAATGCTGGTGCAGCAGAAGGCAGGCCCTCCAGCCCCCAGCCAATGTGGGCAAGGACACACACTGCCACCTCCACTTCCTATGGAAGTCACGACAAATTATGGGGAAAGAATTAAAAGGCACAAAATCAATGGATAATCAAAATAGGAGGTGTGAATGCAGTCAGCAAGATTCTGGAAGCTGGAGAACTGGTGGAAACATCATTGAGAGCAGAGAGTGGAGAACCAAGCATTGGTAGGCCAGACAGGGTGGGGCAGGAGTACATCCACTAACACCACAGGTCCCCCCAAAGGCTTCATCAGTGGCCCAGACACCACAGAAGGCAGGGAAGCAGTGGGGTTTATTTCATAAGTCAGTAAAAGGAGTCATATCCCCAGCTCATCTCCTTACCCCTGCAAAGACTCAAAAGTCTAATCCAGGGATCTGGACTTAAGCAGCAGCCTAGATTAAGGTATCATGCTAAAAATACAGGTAATAAAACTCAATGGTGACATTGCAGTCTCCTTCTCCTCTTGACTCCTAGAGATGGTGGCCAAGTGCATGCTGCCAGGCAAGAGACTGCAACATTTCAACTCTTTAAATACTGTCACTGAGTGGGGGATAGTTCTGTGGTAGAGTGCTTGCCTAGCACACATGAGGCCCATGGTCAAACCCCAGCACTACCAAACAAACAAAATTATAAGTAAAATTATAAAATAGAGGGGAAAAAAGGCAAAGAAAATTGGAAATTAAATTTTTCCCAGAATCAAGAGAGAAAAACAATCAGGAATTCAAATTGTGTTAGATTTCCTAAGGGCAAACCCAGACGTTGGAAATCAGTTGAACAACATTAAGAAAAAGTTTTATTTGTAGATGGGCACAATACCTTTATTTATTTACCTTTTTTGTGGTGCTGAAGATTGAACCCAGTGCCTCACCCATGCTAGGTGAGTGCTCTACCACTGAGTCACAACCCCAGCCCCAATGGACCAACATTTTGGAAATCTTCATGATGATTCTCAAATTTGTCTTTTATATCCAGCACAACTATCAATCAAGCAGGATGGCAGAATGGGACATTTTCAGATAAGAAAATTTCTCAGAAAAAAAATGTCCTCCAGACTCCTTTCTTAGAGGATGTCTCCCTCAAAATGAGATAGTAAAACACAAAAGTGAAAAACCAGAGACCTGAAATGAGAGGACCCAACCCCAAAAAAGAGCAAAGGAAGTACTGGCAATTGTTGTGAGTGAAGTGTGCTGCAGGCCCAGATGGCAGTCAGTTCAGAGAAGAAGAGAATGGAGAGCTGCAGGAATGCATTCTCGAAGAAATCCCCAGAAATCGCYGATGGTGGGCTGGGGGTGTACAGCACTTGCCTAGCGTGAGCAAGGCTCTTGGTTCAATCCCCAAACAACAAAAAATTATTGATTGCCTGATGTGAGTCAATGTGCAGAGATTTATACCTCTGTCAGGATTTGGTGCTGAATTCATGATAGATACATCGGAAAGTAAATGAATAAAACACTAAGACTTAGTAAATCCAGGGGAAACAAAGAGTTATATATAAAAGGTAAATACAGTCATAGAACATCCAAAACACAGCTGTGGAAATATATATTTTAGTAAACTTAATCATTTGAAGTATACAGACACAGCCAAATTTATGTCACTACTCTAAAAGAGGAAAGAAGGAGATCTATGCTTCGGATAGGGCTGGAAGGAAGATTCAGAGTCAATTCCTTATCTTCCTTAGGAGGAAATCAATTGATGACACCGAGAAGTGAAAAATCAAGAATATAATCACATTATTTGGAAATATAAAGGTTAATACTAAAGGAAATAACATGGCTGACCCTGGGAGGTGGAAGACTAGGGTGATAGGGACTGCTGGTTTCCATTATGAGCCTGTAACAACTATTTGGCTTTTTATATTATGCACACAAAATAGTAAATAAATTAAAAAAAAAACACTGCAAAACCAAATCCAACAACAAAACCTAAAACTTCCCTTCAAATTGCTTTCAATCTAGTAAAGGGCAGACTCTGGTAAGATGGGGTTCAACTGCTCAGAGAGGTGGAGTGGCAGCCCAGTGGCTCCCACCACAGGCCTTCACTGCTAATGTGTGGAAAAGGCACTCTGGAGTCTGCAGATAGAGATCAACCTCCATGTCTGAGCTTGTGGGAAACAGGAGGAAGCAAACCAGGCAACACACACTAGCAAGCTGAATATTAGTGGAAGGTTTTGTCATTACTCATGGGAAATATTTCCTGTAATTTAGAGCCACTTTTAGGGCTAGCAGTGTGACTGGGAGGAGGGGTTGAAACCTAATGGGGGTCCTGGCATGGCTTTTAAAGTCTCCTACCTTCCTGCACATTTTCTTAACATGTTTGAAGTAGCAGAGGCATGTTTTCCAAAGTCCATAACACTAATTTTGTGTTTCTCCCAATTTTTACTCTTTCTTTTCTCCTTTGAAGTGATTTGAACATGGCTAAGAAAACAAAATCGCAAGTTCTACTTGAAGAAACAAGAGCCTGGACTCTGAGTGCAGTTTTGGAGGAGTTTTTTTGGCTTCTGATGGAGCATGTCACTCCCATTACAGGACCCTGGGCAAACTCTCAGGGACTCATCTTCTAATGCAACGACAAAGATAATGGCAAATCTGTGAGGCAATTGCCTGGAACAGCTCCTTTTGTTGCTGTTTAGAAAATGCTTCTACTCTACAGCTTAGCTCTGGAGACCACCGTCATCCTTGCTTCGCATGGCACAGAAATGTGCCTCTCTGTCCGCATCCTCTGTGAATGCCATGATCACAAAGACCCTAGACATGCAAGTCACACTGACAGGCCTGGACTAGTGCAGCAGGGGTGTTGCTAGCACAGGTCAGGAGTCAGAGCACAGGTAGTTGGCCATAAAGGTGGATCCTGCTCCCCAGCCCCAACCACCTCTGTATCCTGTGCCCCAAGTAGCTTTCCTCTGAGTAAAATAATGTGGATTCCTACCCAGCCCCCATCCACACCCTTAGACTTCGTGCTGCCCTAGACGGCCCTCTGTGTGATAGACTATATCCCTCTGGCCTGACTTCACTGCAGGTCTTGTGGGCTTTCAACTGTCCTCTACTCATATGAACAGCTGCTCTACCTTACGCAAAGAAATGCGAACTAAAACCAAGATATCAAATGTACTTTCCAGATGAGCTAAGATCAAAAGCTAGACCAGGCAAGGTACTGGCAACAGAGGAAGGAAATAGGTCCCAAAGGGACCAGGAATTGGTGTGTGCTCTTTGCAGACAGTGGGGGAGTTGTCTAAGGAAATTTAAAATGAAGGTGTCCTTGACCCAACTTCTCTTCCAGGAATGCAGCCAGGACAGCTGGCTCACTTGGGGCGTGTGCGGCAGCTCCGCCTGCGCCAAGACAACGCTGCAGCAAGGCACCTTGGCGGCTGAGTGAACCAGGAAGCACACCACACAGAGGACAAGTGCAGGGCCACCTGAAGAAAGACAGCTGCACCGTGTGTGCTGACGTGAAGTGACCTTCAAGATATACAACATTCATGACAGGCAGGTGGAGTACGCTGCCGCTGGTGGCTGGAAAAACACAAGGGCTGTGCACAGTGTGCACACAGGGTCTCTGGAAAAAGGTCATGGGTTTAGGGTGGAGGAGGACTGGCTTGGCACTTGTACGCTTGGGTCTTGTGTGAGGTCCTACCACTTGCCTGTGCTACTTTTCTGAAAAAAGTAAAAATTGTTTTCATTAACGTTTTGACAACACCGTAAGGTGAGGGACTGTCAGGCACTACTTAAAGACAGAAGCCATGCATCTTTCAGAGCTGGAAGCAATTTACACCAGTGGGTACCTTCAATCAAGAACAGGTGCTTCCCCAACAGGAAAAAAATGGAATGCAAGTGGTCTGAGTGCTAAGCTGTCAGGCATGCGTTCCTCCTCAGGGAGATGCGAAAGCTGGCCTGGGTTGTCTCCCTAATCTGTTTTCTAGTGCAAAATATCCACCATTTTCATTTAATCCAACTTCCTGATCCTAAGAAGCACTGAGAGCGCAGAGCAATCCAAAGCACACCTAAATGCTCTTAAGCCATCTATTCAGAATAATTTTACACTGAAACATCCTTTAAATATATTCAGAGCACAGAATTTATTGAACATAATACGGCAGACAGCTCATACAAAAGTGTATGCCTCGGCAAGAACAGGTTTCATCGGACAGACCCAGAACATGTGAGAACATGCTGTGAACAGCTCTTTCAATCTGGACACTGCACAAATACATCTCCTTCCCTCTGGGAAACGTAAAGTCAGCCATAAAACTGCAAATTTATTACATATCAGATAACCAAAATGTATTATGCTAAAGAACCCTTTCCTGCACTGACTTTTTAAATGAGTTCCATGTCAAAACAGGAAATACAAAAAGGAAAAATTATGAAAACTACAGCATTCTGAGACTTCTCTTAAAATACTCAATTCCTAAAATGTTAACAGCGTACACGGAAGTCACGATCACACATCACAAACTGCAGAGATCTTTTTTCAAGATAGGGAAAAAGATGTAAAGCAGGTCAGGGACAATATGCATTACCGAAGCTACTTCTTTTATTTGAAAGGCGAGAAGAGATGAAGGGAACATTTAAATAGATCATTTTGAGTTTCTTATAGGAAGTTCCGAATGACAGCAGCTTATAAATGAATAGAAGGCAGGAAGGCAGGCAGGCGCTCCTAACAGGAATGAGGACCAAATGTACTTTGCATTTCTCTATGTATGAACTTGAATCTCCATACTTAGGCTGCTTACGAATGAAAAATATAAAATTGAAAGCATATTAACTAATTTCTCAGCACCTCTGCAGTATCTAACATACAGAAGGTACACACAGTCTCAGTATCAGACAATAAATTCTGACCTTTGAATCTAAGTTAAAAGATTCAATGGGGAAAAAAGTTAAATGAATGCCACCCTAAAGGGTTCACAGCTGAATTTAGTTTACTTCTAAAAAAACAACATAAAGAGGGGCACGCAGGATGCCTGTTCACGAAAGGAACCAGGCCCTTCTGTGCTGCAAGACAAGGGGCAAGATGACGCTCGTTTTCAGAACAGCTCTGCATTCTTGTCAGCACTCAGGCTTAATGAGACTGTGTTAAGAGATCTGATCAGTCTCCCTGAGCTGGTGTCTCCTGAAGGGAAATAGAAAACAGGTAAGCAGATGTGGCTTTGCACGCCCGCTGCTGCTTCACCTGCAGAAGCTGGGCCACGCTCCTGAGGCTCATCAGAATGCAAGAGGGAGTGAGCGTCCATCCTGCACCCACCTCCATTAGCAAAATGATGGAACCCACATCAGCCCGCTGCTGCAATAAAGCAACTGTAACGGGCATTGTTACAGGATCAATGTTTCCTGGTTTGAAAATAAACATCAGCATTTATCTAGCAGCAGCGGGCGATGCTCCCACAGCACTGTTTTATTCAACTGACATCTTTTAATCAGAGCAACCATATTGTGGCAACATTCCAAGGTATCATAATTGCAAATATTTATGGCAAGTTGGATAATAGCTATAATTTTTTTTGCTAGCTTTTTCCTTTTCTACGGATTTGATGCAGACATTTTCTAATGAGTTAATTCCATTAAGAAAAAAAAATCTAAAGTAATTATATTCGAGACAACCTCTCATCCGCTTCCCCTGGCTTCGCTTTTAATGATAACACATAGCTGTTTATGTGTGCTTGTGTCTTTTTTAATTTTTCAAAATACCTCCATAATACAAATAAACTAAAACAAAACCTCTGTTTTTAAGTGCGTAGATATGGCAACAAGCACCCCCACCACCATCAGGGAGGTCTAGGTCCCCTCGGCAAAGGATGGGCGACCTCATGAGCCCCAACTCACAGTGTTCCTGGCAGCTGAGCCTCGAGCACCAAGCACGCAGCTAATGGGATTCGAAGGCCAGRGGAAGGGCACCGCACCTCACCATGGACCCGCTCCAGGGCCCCCAGCCTGCCCCTCTCCACTCATCTCCTTATCACTGTCTTCTACCTCTGCTCCCTTTGCTGATTTCCTGGAAACCACAGTGCTAATTCAGGCAGGGGCTGGAAATACGAGTAGCCCACATGCCTATGTTCACACCCAGCACTTCCAGAGTGCCTATTTTAATGAACCGCTCTTGCTCACATGTAATTTGTGAGTTGTGTAAAGCCTCTACATAGAGCATCCCCATCACTGCTCGCAGAAACAGACTAGCAGTTTCCTTTCRAAAGCCCCCAAATTCATCCCCTGGGTGAGCTGGGCAGAGATCTCTAAGCAGTAAGAAAATGGAAAAGGCACACCCCTTCACTGCCCAGAGCATGTTCAGGTTCCAAAAGAGGAGGAAGGGGGTCTGAACTASAGTGGCTTCTCCTTGCCTCTGCTGGGACAACTAGACTAGACCCAAACACGTGGGTGTGCAGAGCTCCTTCCCCAGTTCCCACCAGCAGGTACATGCAGGGTTGAAGCTATCCATGGGCAGGCCTGAGCAGGGGCTGGTTCAGTTCTAAACCAGAAGTTCTGAAAGATGCCCAGCTTAACCTTCCGAAGCCTTCACCTCCTCATGTACAAGACAGAGCCTTCCTCCCTGGGATCAGCTGTGGGTGAGGACTGTCCATGGGTGAACTGGTGTGGTGCTGGACACAGCAACTGTCTCTGAAAGGATCCCACCAAGGCTGAGGGAAAAAGCCTTCTCTAAGTCCATTCAGGCCAGGGACCCTGAGGGAGCCAAACTCCATGGGGACATATGATCCCAGAGCTGCCCTTCGGTTCCCAGAGCAAAGGCTGGCCTCATCAGACTTGGCACCCATTCACCTACACTACACAAATGCAATTCCCAGTCTGTTCATCTCTGAAGGCACTCATTCTCAACAGAGCAGACTGGGCCCAGGTCCACACTTAAGTCTCCTCTAACAGGGTACATTGCTAAGTTCCACTTGATTCCCCTCTTTCAGCAAGCGAGATGGGCTCTGCAGGAGAGGTGGGGGCACCACCACCAGTAAGGGAACACCAGAGAAGGTCTGGTGGGTGATGTTACCCAGGTATACAGGTGACTGAAAAACCCAACACTCATGGCTCTTGGTTTTTGATTTTAAACCAAGGATTTCACAAACCATAACCAGAAATTTGTACATGGGCCAGTTCTTTTGAGAAGGAGCTGAAAATGACAAATGGCACTTTATTTTGGCATGGATTCCGAGTTTGCAAATACAAAGATCTGTGTGCAAAAAAATATAGGCACCATTTGAAAACTATCAAGCTACTTACATATGGCACACACGCCACACACACACATGCACTCACACACACGCACATGCACATACAGAGCTTGTTTTCAAATTAATTTGAAGGGCTATTTAGCTCTGAGCTTTCACCGCATTCAGTTATATCTGACTCAATACAGCTGCAAGCTGGGCACTGATATCTTTCGATAGCAATTCTGTTCCTAGGATTTGTTTGAAAGCGTTTAGGTTTTCATGGATCACTGGAGGTTCTTCATTTTCCCCCTTCTGTGTTATGTAGGTCTAAGCCATCTCTCTAGGCATAAACTGTCCACTGGTAAAAATCAATTTTGATTTTATCACTATTTATTACTGCTAGTGCCAGCAGTTTAAAAGACTAGAGAGGGAAAACATGCAAACTAGGAGGAGAAAAAAAATTATAGCCAGGTCCTCACACCTACCAGTACACAGCCTGCTCTCTTTAAGAGGTATTTCGTATCACGCTGAGAGCTTAAAATTATCAATTTGAAAATTCAATCCGTAAACATTTACAGGGCTCTGCTGTTGCTTCCATCTCCTCTGTGCGCACGTGGCTGGCGTTCCTAAAGCCAGGGCACCCAACAGAGGAGTTGTGAGTACAGCACCCAAGGGAGGCTGGCATCCCTATTGGGTCTCAGCCTTGCCCTTGCCCAGTTATCAGTCTTTTCCTCTCTGGGCAGAACAGAGGGCTGTCAGAATTCCACATTCACCTCTTCTTGGCTTTACTGTTTTCTTTCTTCACTTCTCCAGAATGATACCCCGAATGTGCACATGTCACCACACTCTCCGGAGGGCTTGTGGTTCTTAGGCAGTCCTTGAAGAAGCAGGCCACACTCCACCAGTTCACCTCCTGGCACATTTCTTACTGCCAGGATGACTCTGCGTGACCTGCCTTCCCACAGCTCCCCTGCTTCTCTCCTGGTGGAGATTCCTTCTCCACTAAGTCAAGAAGCCCACAAGTTAATGTGTGTTCCGCAAGTCCCACTCTCAACGGGGGAAGGAGAATGCAGAGGAGGATCTGCTGAAAGAGACAACTCTGCATTTTAAGGTATTTGTTTGTTCGTTTTGCTGCAAACCAATCTGCATCCTCTGAGAAACTGAGGAACTTCTCTTAGACACACACCCCAAATACAAACTCACTTTCTAAAATCCAAACCTCACCAGCCTCTCAGGCACTCTTCAAACCCCACCACTGGTTGTTCTCATGAGCTGTTTTATCAGGAGACACAGCCCTAGCCTTTAGGACCTCGGGAGACCCCGCTGCAGCATCATGGGGCTGCATTGCTCCCCTGGTACTTCTGGAGCCTTCAATCACTCTCCTCTCAAGACTACACAGAGACACTAGTCTGCTGTAACATCTCCAATTAGCAAATTTTAGCCCACTTTCAGAAAATTAAGTGGCAGAAGGCACGTGCCTCAAAGTTCAGTCTTCTCACTTCCTTTAAGCACTGAGGCTACACGGAAAAAATCATGATCTAACCTACAGTGGTGCAGCCTTCCCCACAGGCACGCTCCCTGCAACCCTAGCTCGGCAGAACAAAACCTGCTTAATGTCTTCTGAGAGCACCACGGTTTTGTAGTAAATTTCTTTTCAAAAATACAGAAAGCTACTTACTCAGATGGATCACAGATTCCCACTTTGCTGGCCTTGAGGTTCCAGTTGACCAGAGCTAGTGTTGGGAGCAATGTGGCTCAAGATGCATGAACTTCCCAAACTGTCATCTTTTTGATGAACTAGTCGGCTCAAACTCACACACACACACACAGGGCCATGCCCAGCACTTGCATGAGCCTGTGGCACAGCTTCCTGGCCAGAGCAGGGCTGCTTCTCACTGAAGGGCAAGGGCAACAGGCACCAAATGTCAACAGTTCAATTTTCATACTGTCAGTTGAAGCCAGCCAAACACGCACGCGCGCGCGCACACACACACACACACACACACACACACAGCTAAACCTCCGAACCCAGATTTCTCATGTATAGGGCTCATTTTAAAACCTTCTAATGGCAAAATAATGATGATGATAAAATAATAATTCCCCTCATACAGCGAATGTGACAAAATGACAAAAGAACTCTTAATTTGGGGGCTTTATTTTAGTTTTTTTTTTTCCTTTAAGATGCTACATAGTCAAACAGAATTGGATTGGTCTTTTACGGCACAAAATTAATTCACAGTCAAACCTGCATTTCCACTCAGATTGGCGGAGGAACCCGCCTAGACCRCCTCCCAGAGCTCTCTCCCTCTGCAGGCGCAGTCCACCTCTTCATCCTGACTCCCTGGGGGGGCCCACAGGAGGTCAGGCCCATATGTGGGCCTGTGTGCTGGAAGTCTGAGGGTAACTGAGGGGGCAGAAGAGCACTTTTCTCCATTGATACCACTCTTCTCCATTGATACAGGTGACCCGGGGTTGACTGTCCCTATAAATTTCCTCCTATGACATTTTTTACTGACACAGAAAAGACCTCCTGGCAGCTGTTCTCCAACATTCCATCACCCCTCCCCACACCCAGAACCTCCAGAGACAGAGGAGCCATGGCCCCAGCAGCAGTGCCAGCCCCACCCACTGGCATTATATAAGCACAGGTGATTTTTAGGCCACAGCATTAACTGCTCTCTTGTGACAATAACACATGAGATGAAATACATTAAATAAGTTAAATATGCATTAAACATCTCTGAATAACAGTCCAGTTTCACTACGTGAACCAACAGTAACTTAGCTTGGTCCCACTAAGAGAACAAAGCCATGACATCCCCAAGGGACGGGCGGCCATGCGTGCCTACCGCCCGTGGTGGGCACACCTCAGGCTGCCACGGCACCGTGCTTCCAGCTTTTGCCATGTTGGACAGTCCCAAGGAACCGGTGGCTTGGACAGAACTGAGGACATGGAAAAACAGCCTGGGGCAGGAATGGGCAGCGTGGGGGCTGCCCTGCAGGGGACTGTACAGCCCACCGCACTGGGCTCCAGCTCCTGCTAGCCAGCACCAACAGGTGAGGAAGAGTGTCAAGGCCAACCAGGGTTCAAAAGGACAGTCACACCCCGCCATGGAGGTGCCAACTGCGGCTTCCCTCATCACCAACAGAGATCATTCTCCCCCAATCATTTGCTTTATGTTTTAACTCTCTAAAAGATTGTTATATTATGTTATATCATGTGCATCTGTGTGTGTATGTGCGCGCGGGGAGGGGTAATTGAAAGGCAAGACCTGTGAGATGTCATCAGACGTTAATTCTTTTTACACATAGTTATGATAAATTTAAATTCCATGGTATGGTGGATGCCTCGATCTGACTCCCATCCTTCACATGCTGCCCTACAAGGCAATCTTGCCTACAATGACACCGACGATGAAGAACAAGACCACCAGAGCCAGCAGCCGGGTGCTGAGGCCCTCCTCCTTCCCGGTGGCAGCCAGCGCTGCGATGGGGCTGTTGCTCGGCACCGTCTTCCTCATCCGGAGCCCATCTTCTTCCTGTGGAAGCAAATGCACATTTCAAAGATAGTCCAAGCCCTGATGACTCTGTCCCACCACAGCCTGTACACACAGCAGCTGACGCTTGCAGAGAGGGAAGGACTAGCTTGAGGCCATTGAGGAGACACTGCCAGAAGCCCTCTATGTCATCCACCCTGTTGGTGCCACTAGCTATCTTTTTACAACACAAATCTGAGCTGCACACTCTCGGTTCCCCATGATTTATGGAAAAAGCTCTTCAGAAGGCCATCCAGGCCCTTCTCATCCTCAGTCGCATCCATCTCAGTGACGACTCTGCACATTCCTCCTCCCGTGTCCAGTCCCAAATCCTCTATCCTTCTTGCCTCACAGGTACAGGAATCCTTAATCAAGTCACTACTGGCTTTTGAAATCACAGGCACTTCTTAGGGCACAAACGTACAATACAAGAAACTACAAAGTGGGGGACCCGGAAGCTTTCACGTGAAGAGCTGTACAGAGTTGGCTCCTGATGAGTTACATGCAGATTGCTGAAATCAAATGGCATCTGGAATAGTAACTGTGACTCACTTTCATACACTCATCTCAAGTATTTTCTACTCAATGTGTGGATTTCTCACTAAAGAAGCCACAACTCCTTCCATCCATATACGAAGATACCTGCCACACTTTCCCTGTAACATCAGACAGGTGAGGAGCAGGACGTCTTCCTCTCCTCTGCATCCAGGGCCACTGCCTCTGTTGCCACGCACTGCCTGAAGGTTGCAGGCACTCTGCGATCTCTGGGTCACTTGTTATATGCCCTCCAGGTCACACCCACCTTCCTGAGCAGGGCCCAGCACCAAGGCCTTTCTGTTCTGCCCAGGCTTATCTCTGCAGCTAGACCTCATGCTGACTGCTCCTTCTACTCTGCCTAAACCCACCCAGCAGCACACTTTCTTTTCTCTTTTTTTTTTTTTTTTTTCCACTTCTTTCACATTCACCAGGTGCCTAAGTGTCCCTGTGGTCAACAGCCCATGGGGCAGGCTCCCTCCAGGAACATAATCACTGGTTGGAATCCAGTGCCAGCACATAGCAGACTCTCATTGAATTTGTTGGCCAAATGAAAGAATGAACCGACACAAAACAAGAAATCAGAGTTTGGCAGGATAAAGAATCTCCCAATGTCAAGATCAGTCTGATAATATTTTAAAGATATTCTGCTCATGGGGCATGGCCAACATCACTGCACAGTGATAAATGACTCAATTGTTTGATTAACTTTAAAAAAATCAGCACAGCAAAATACAGTATATATTTTATTGGGTTTATATGGAAGCTATTTCTACCTATTTATCATTTTAAACAACACAGAACTCTAGTTCTGAAGAGAAAGATGCTCAAAGAGAAGCTGTAGGCCTATCTCAGAGTGTTAGCCAAGAAGGGAGGTGCCAGTTTCACAACCAACTTTGAAGGAAGGTGCAGAGGAGGCAGGTCCAGGTCACTGCCCAGTGGGATGGGCTGCTGCTTCCAGACACCAGGCATCCTCCCTCCTCCATAAATGGAGAGTGTGTCCCTGAAGCCACTACAGTGAGAGTGGACACCACAGCATGCCTCGAGACAGGAGTGAGGTTAGCAGAAGAGGCAGCCTCGGTGCTCAAGTTGCAGAAAAGGTCCCCATGATCTCATGGCCAGAGATACTCCCTTTGGTACCATGTTTGAAATAGACTCATACTTTCATGGCTGGGAGGGCTAGAGATGCGTGCAGTGGATGCAGGCAGGGAAATGCTGTGCTATACACACTGGCTTACTTCCCAAACCCGACACCTGCCTCACCACCCAGTGCAGCCCAACCGGCCCACACCCAAGCTGGACACCCAAGTGCCCCCTCTGTACTCCACTCTCCCTCCACTAGGACAGCACCATATCCCCAATCTCCCTACCACATCAGCAGTTTGATGAGCCAGTACTGCCTAGACCTATTTAGAGTCTTTAAAAATATGGGTCAGTTATTTTGCCCCTTAAAGAGACTTAGACCCAAATGAATGGCAGGAAGTAGGGTTTGAAAACACATGTTCAAAATAACCACTGCTGATTTCTAATTCACACAGTGAACACAGGTTGTCTTGTTTTTTTCTTTTCTTTTTGTGAGGATAAGAGTTTAAATACCTGAGGATTTTCTGCCCAAGGAACAGTGGTCCTTACTTGGGGGCTTTTGGGATCCTTTTGAGAACGAGATGAAAACTATGAAAATTTCTCCCCCAGTGGGCTGGGGCTGAGGCTGGGGCTCAGTGGTAAAGTGCCCGCCTAGCATGTGTGAGGCACTGGGTCTGATTCTCAGAACCACATAAAAGTAAATAAATAAAGGTATTGTGTCCATCTGCAACTAAAAATATATTTTAAAATATTTTCTCCCCAAGTAAGAAAAACTGAGCAAAAACAACAGAACTCAACCAAGGCAGAGACCTGTCAGCTTTCCCGTCCAGGGAGGCTGGCCCTGCTCTCTGCAGAGGAGGTGGCCGCTGTTACCTTGAACTGCTTGTTCTCCTCCCGCAGCCTCTGGACCTCCCCTTGCAGCCTCTTGCACTCTTCCAGCACCTTCTTAACTTCAGAGTCGTCCAAAGAAGTAGTCAGAGATTTAGACACCGACGGTGCTTCTGTCTTGGATGCAGTTGTGGATATAATCTTATTTATTTCTACATCATGCTGTTCAGAAATAAACGAAAGTCCAAGCATCACCAACAATGTAAAAAAGGATGTTTTTAAGCAAAATGAGGTAGTTCTCATTTCTCACACACCATAAATGTACTGTTTTGTCCACACTGTAATAAGTCACATTTATTTTTTAAATGGATCAATTTATCTAGTATCTTAATAACCTAAAGCAACTGGGCCCTAGAAATTATGGATAAGGGCAAAGAATGCAGTTGGGCTGAGACTAATACTTCAAAGAAAGAGAAAAAGGGCTGTGCAAATGGYACTATCAAATTCCTGCCATGCAAAAAATTAGCATACTGTAATTGTGCAAGCTCAGGAATTATCAGCCACAAATTACTCTCACCGTGAAGATCTGAGCATCCCCAAGACTGGATGGGCGAGGATGGGAGGATGGGGAGAAGACTGCACAGGGCGGTCTGTCCCACCAACCTGGAACTGGATGCTGGATGAAGGTGAAAACAAACACCCAGAGCCTCCCTCTGGGCAGGTCGCACACATTCTGGTCCCAGTCTGTTCTGCTGTGACAGCCTCTCCAGGTGCGTTGCAGAGTGGGGGCAGGGCACATAAGCAGGCTGGGGAGGTGACTGGGGATTGCGGCCTGGGGCTCTGGGCAACATCTGGATACTAGATCTCTAGCTCTGCCCTCCCCTTCCCACCAGGGAGGGAATCCTGGGAAGCAAGGCCCAAAGTTACTAGCCCAGAGCCCAGAGCTAGGACCAGAATCCAGGTCTCCCAGTCCCTAAACCAACTTCTACATTGTACAGAATATACAATGAGAAAAGGGGAAAATGTGACAATTATTCATTCAAAGAAATAGGATGATGATAGTGGCCAGTTACTGAACAGATAAAAACTGTACAGTGTGACACAAATCAACAGCATTCCCCAAGATCATTCTAGATGATGTTTACAGAATGCTTCAGAGTATTTCCATTTCCCAGCCCTGGCTACTAATGGCCAGGGTAGTTTCATATTCTGCATGAGTTTTAAATTCTTTGCTTTTAATATAAGTTAATTTTTTTTTACTAGCTTTGAAGGAAGTCCAAATTAGCATTTTAGATACAGTCTCCTCTCTTCAACTGGTCACAGTGAGGGCCAGGACAAGTTTGCCCCTGGTTTCACACCAAGGAAAAATGAGCTGATGGGTCGGTGGAAGGTGCTCCTCCCCCCAGCCAACACCAGAGTTACATGGAGTCAGGCGATTTTCAGTGAGGGGTGGTTTTGCTCCCGCTGCAAACAATCATCCAGCCCAAATGTCACTAGCGTTGAGGTTGAGAAAGCCCCATCTAAAAGCAGACTTTGATTGAAGAGGTAGGTGGGGGAAGGGAGAGGGGGAGGTGGTGTTGAGGGAAAGGGCTGACAGGGACACTTTGTAAAACAGAGCCTAACAGCTTACCACCTGTCCATCAAGCACCATGATAAAGGGCAAATTATTCCCTGCTTTGGTCTTGCTCACTGTTTAATAGCAGCCCATCACTTTGCCAAGCCTAAGAAGTTCTTCAGGATTTATGACACCTCAACAGCCACCAAGCTGCATTTTCAAGGGAACAAACTGTTTCAATTAGTTGTCTTTCTGCAAGACTTTTGAAGGCTGATTTTATAAAGGCCCACTTATTTGTTGACTTCAGCTTATTTTTTTTCTTCATACATTATGGGTAGGAAAATAATTTGCCAACTTAGATCTTGGTTTTGCAGGAGATGGTATGCAAATAAGTATCAGCTTGCAACATTCAATTACTGTTAACTATAAACATACTTACTGGTTTATCATTTTCTGCTGGCAATTCAAACACACATCTAAGTTTTGAATCCATAAGGTCTTCTGGTTTTGCCTCCTTCCACTAAAACAATTTAAATTTAATAATCAGGATATTATAAAGCTGCTGGAAGAATAATTTTCCTCCTATAACTGACAATTTCAGAAAAATACTCCTAATGAGAAAGTCCTGATATACATCAGATAAGGAACTTGTGAGTCTCCTGAGATTTTGGTACTTTTAGCATGACAAGATTAAATGCCCCACTGTCTTCCTGCCTGACTCCTTCAAGTCCACCCATTCCTCCCATGACTGGTCTGTGGGGATGCACAGGAACCCAGAGAACCAGGGGACAGAGAGGGGTTTCTGCATTACATCTGAACAACAAAAGGGAACTTTGTCTCCTTAAGAAAATAAAATCCACAGGGTATCCTCCCTGAACAACCTGGGCACATGCCATCTGGGAGTAGCTTCAAACCCACCCTGCCAATTACCAATGGAACACAGCACTTGTAAGTCACTCTTTACTACTGTGGTTGTATCCACCAAGCCCTGCCTGAGGGCCACACCCACTCCTCCCTCCACTCTGCTGACAAGAGCACCTTCTTGATCAGCCCCAGGTTCTGGGATAATACACTTCTGATTTACTCCCCTCTCAGCAGTGGAGGATGGGCATCCAGGGTGCTCTGAGAATTACAGACCAGCACAGCAGCAAAGTTACAATCCAGAAAAGGAAGGCATCCCCTCCTCCCCTCTCCCAGACCATGCAGATAGCAGCCAGAGCAACAAGGCCAAGAACCCAAATCAGGAGACAATCTGTGTGTCTGACATAAGGGGACTGCCATGGAAATTATGGCAGATCCATCTAATGGAATAGCATGCTGTCACTCAAATAATACTGAAGAGTGTTAAATTACATGGGGGAAAGCCTCAGGATATTAAGTGAAGAAACTACAAAGGATATTGAAGTCCATTCCTCTGTGCACATGCCCCAGTGGATGTGTGCCTATGCGGGTGTGTGGGTACATCTTAAAAAGAGTACCAGGCAAGTCTGGTTATGACTGGATGCCAAAGCTACCCAGTGACAAGTGCCAGTGGGAAGGATATTTATGTGGTCTCAAAGTATCAGACGACTTAGGACACAGCAATCATCTATTAACCAAGGGGCAGATATGCTTTGAACTCAGAGGTCCAGCAATTGCATCTGAGCCATGTCACCAAACAGTATCACCAAGAGAGCAACAACCCACCATAAAATGTCTCCATGTGACACCACCTATGGAATGTTCTTGCCAAAACGATACATAAACTGCCTTTAATCATGAGGAAATAATCAAACAGGATATTACGCTTTCTACAAGTCATTCAGCCTGGACTCTAAAAAATTGTTTTAAAAAGTTATTTTAAAAAAATCCAAAAAGGGTAGGAGAGTCCTCTACTATAATAACGAAAGGCCATTTTTAGAATAATTGGAAATGCTAAACCTAGATTTATCTATTGGATTTAATTCCGGATTAAGGTTCATTTTGTTGGCTGTGCTCACGTCCTGTGGGCCTGTGAGAGACTGCCCTTGTTTTGAAGCACTTGGGGATGAAAGTCACAACACCCGCACTTGCATGCAAATGGCTCAGCAGAAAGGAAAGTAAGGACAGGAGGGAAGCAGATGGGCAAGAGGCTAATAAAGGGCAAGCCCAGGTAACAGTCAGTGGCCAATGCACTGTCTTTACTTTCTATGTATCAAAATAAAGAGAAAAATGTCTTAAAATAAAGAAAAAGGCGCGGCTCTCGTGAACAGGTTGGGTTAGTATGAAGGAACCCGACTCCATTCTACTTCTGGCTTTTGCTTCTTTGTGTATTTCCAAATTTTCCTACAAAGAATTTTTGTAAGAGAACTTTTAAATGTTATAAAATAATCACACTAGGAAACTAATTGACCCTTTATCGTGTATGCAGAGCCTGGCCTATTACACGCCAAGGTAGTCAGGGCCAGATGCTTCTAGGCCCTCAGACGGGGCTTGCCAGCCCACACAATGCTGTGAGCTGACTGCTTCCCCATGATGCAGGTGACCAAAACTTCAAGAGGGACTGAACTGCAGAAGGCAGAACTCAGCTTCAAACCCGAGTGACCATGCACCTACTCTTTTCACTACATTGTTCAGCAAAAGCCAGACAGAATACACGTGGATACTGTGTATTTGTATCTGCCATAGGAGGTGACACAACACGTTCCAGGGAATAAAAGAGGAAGAGCAAATGCTTTCATGATGGTTCTTATGAAAAGACAGTCTGCTGCTGCTGCTCTCTCTCAAACTCAAAAGTACCTGACTTACCCTTCATTTTCTGCCCTCATGTTAAAAATCAATGAAGATGATCAGTTACGCTTTTTCAAGGCTAAAAGAAAGGCTGAGTGGTGACACTGGGTCATGAATCCAGCTTCTGCGTGAATCCTCCAGCAGGAGAAAACTTGGAGAGGGGAGAAGGACAGCAGGGAGCCCAACACACTCCCTCTGGGGCTGGYGGGCTACAGGCAGTGATGGGCGGGTGCTCCTGCCCTCCTTTAAACACTGGGCACCAGGGAGTCAGTGCTGGTGCTCAGAGGGCACAAGGTCTGACACAGCACCAGCATGCGCATGGACTCATTCACATGTGTAAAAAGCTTGCTTTGAGGAGAATTTCTATCATAACCTCTCCTTTTCCAGAAATAACCGATAATATAATATTGTTTATTTAATTTATAAAAATGAAGTCATCCTAATTTTACCAAAATTCAACACATAGTGAAACATATTTATTTAGGGAAAAAAATGAAGGGACCTGTTGTTAAAAAAGAAACACTCAAGCTGGGGACGCAGCTCGTGGTAGCACCCTTGCCTAGCATGCATGAGGCTCGAGTCTGAGGCCCAGCACCACAAGGAAACAGACAGACAGACAAACCAAAAGAACTGAAAGAAGAATCATGCTTATGAGAACCAAGACAAAAAAAAAGGAAAGAAAGTGTAAGTGGGAAAGGACATTAGTATCCACCACTCGTGTCCTTCTGGATTGGGAAGGAGGGCAAGGGAAAGCATGTTCCCCACAGCGACGTTACCCTTCCCGGGAGAAGAAAGGGGGCAGTCCCAAACTATTTACTACATGAGCCATCAGAGTAAGGAACTGCCAAACAAACTTGAGTTTTTAAAAATCAGAAAAAGAATAGTATTCTAGAGAGCTTCATAAAACGTTAAAATTATTCATTGGTTTTAGAAAAACCAGAAAGGTAGTCAAAATACAAACCTCCTTGAAAATATAACTCCCATGTAAATAATTTTGACACATTTTGAAATGCATGCACCCACAGTTCTGCACCTAATTGGTTTTTGTTATTATTACTGAAAAAAGTAAGAAGCATTCAGTACTTACTACTGCTTCCATATCAGAAGTGTCAGTTGGAGCAAACATAGACTGAACCATAAACTTGTGTTTACTTTTCTCATTGGGATCATAATCGAAAGGCTGTAACATCACTGAGAAAGAAAATATTTCATTAGGAGGGTCAGAACTCAGTTACCAGTGCCATTTGTCATGCTAATACTTGTGCTGTGGTGTAAAGCAGTTTCCCAGGCATTTTCCAAGGAAGCAAAAAGAGATGACCCACACCTCCATTTTGCAGGTCCCCCTAAGGCTCAGAAAGGTTAGGGGACTTGCCAAGGTCAGAGAGCTGGGAACAGGGCTTAGGACTCAGGTCTTGGTCCACTGGTCTTTCATTCCTGCAAACCCACACAGACATCTGTAACGAGCCTTAGAGAATAGGAAAGCAGGGCAGTAACACCGTGTGCCTTTGTGCTCAAGAAAACATATCCAAATGATCTTTTCAGGAACTAAAAGAGAATAATCCAAGATGTTTAAGGCCATTTAAAGAACTGTTAYAGCTTCTCTCCACCCCATTCCCTGCACAGTTAATCAAGGTAATGCTTGAAACATGATTTGGCAACAGAATGCTAGAGAATTCTCATAAGCAAGATGTTCAAATAGGAGGGAAAAAACAATACCAGCYCAGCACCCCACTTGGTCCCTAAGAAGCTAGGGTACCCTCCCTTAGGAACCTGTGAATGAGCTCCTGCTACTTGGAGAGAGGCACCTGCCCACTCTGACTGGCTTCCTCCAGCCCATTTCCCAGGGTAGACTGGGCCTTACCCCTGTGAAACCACCACTGCTTTCAACTCTGTGACCTGCTGCAAGGCTTTGGCTAAATCTCCAACCTACTTAAGTTCGCCAAAACAAAACTTCACAGGCAGCAGAGGCCTTCTGTAGCCCACAGGAGCTACCATGAAATGAGGGTTTCCACGTGCCAGAAACTGGGCTTTGTCTCCAAGGTCTATTATCATCTCATTTAATCCTTAAATGGTGGGTACTATTGTGAGGATGAGAAATGTTATCTTGATGCCTATTTTTCAGATGAAAAAAAAAAAATGAAACACAGAAAGTTAACCAGCTTGCCCAAGGTCACACAACGAAAGAGCACAAATTCAAGCCCAGGCAGGTGTTCTGAGGGCTTATGCTCTACCACCACCAGGACCAATGCCTTGTCCTGACAGGGCCAGTCCTGTCCTCCCTGGCAGGGCTTCTGCCACCTTTTCTGCTAGACACCCTCAGGGGTTTCTCCATGGCCTCGCCACCCCTGCTGCAGATAAAGACAGGTGTCTCTAACCTCAGTATACACATAAAGAATCTGGGGCTCCACAGAGAGAAGCGGCCTGCCCAAGGTCTCACACTGGCATAGAGCCAAGGCCTCTGTCTCCAAGTGCAGCCTGGCACCCCTTCCAYCCACCAGGCACTCCGACAGGATCTGGGTGTAGGCTGCACCTCCAGCCCCATGGCAGTGCTCATGGGACCATGGCTGGCAGGAAAGAGAAATGGCAATTTCCCCCACCCATCTTAGGGATGCAGGAGCATGTTCCATCTTTGTAATAGAGAAAGACCATGAAAACTTGATCACACGAAGGCCTGAAATATACAGGTGTACCTAGTCACCTGGGCGGCTCTGTTGTCACAACACCCATCTGAGCACTTTGAGTTACAAGGGCACTTGCTGGGAGACTTCTTCTGGACAAAGTTCAACAAATGTGAGACAGCAAACCTTTATTAACRTAAGACTGTGTACATGTGACACCCAGTCTACCTACCTTACAGATTACCAAGATTAGAATGCTTCGTCTGGGTACCCGATCCAAACAGTGTAATACCAGCAGAGGGAAAAAAGATCACTAAAAAAAACACAAGGCCACTTTTCTTGGGATCTTGCTCTTGCAGATTCAGTGGACGCCAGGTCTGCCCTGCTATCGGCTCTGGACCTGGACTGCGACGAGGTCCAGCACTGCAGAGCTGGTATGAGCTTCCAGCAGATGGACCCGAACACTGCTGGACACCAGAGCCTGACTTAACCGCAGGGATGAACGCCAGAGTGGAGGTCGAAGCCCTAGACTCTTCTGAGAGCTAAACGCCCTGCTTCCGCCACCAAAATGGCCACATGGAAGGTGAACCCTGCCCACTCAGCAGCTCTACCCACTGCACATGTGCCAGGAGCTTTCTTGGGTAGCAACCATCAACATTGTCCAGAGATGGAACAGAACTTCGAACTACTGCAAAGATATGCTCTCACTTTTAGTACTCAGGTAAATTGAGATTTAAGACTATCCAGGCTCACTGGGCAGTGACAGAACCATTTGCTGGTATTTTTCAGTGTGAAAAAGAAGAGAATGTTGACCCAAACTACCACACCTGGGTTTTCAGAAAAACAGAAGCACTGTGGCCCCTGTCCACTCTCCCCCTTCCCTAAGGCACTGGAGTGAGGGCAGCGAGTGTTCACCCAAGACTCACCACAGCCAAGGGCCACTCCCTTTCACCTCTCCACCACCTCTGTGGTCTTCAGCCCAATGCCTTCACCTCACCCCAGGAGGGAAGGGAATGAAGATGACCTTGACCAGCACCTGCCAGTGTCAAGCCACCAAAGAAGGCACATGCTCCTTAGTCCTCCCACTCAACCCTCACAGCAACCACCAAAGAGGCCCATGTCTGCATTTTCTAGATGAAAAGACACAGGCTTAGAAAGCCTGAGTGAACAGCCTCACCTGGGCTCCATGAGCAGAGCACTGGACAGCAGGACCGGCTCCAACTGGCCCCATTCCAGAGTCCAACTCCTCCAGCAGTTCTCAAAGTACAGCCCACAGACCCCAAGGGTTCTCCACACCCCCAGTCAAATGACCCATGAAGTCCAAACGATGGTCACACTAATACCAGGACATCCATACCTTCTCCCGTGTCGCCACTTAGACCCATGGTGCACAAGCATGGTGGYGATGCAGGCAAGTGGGCGGTTGCCATGGGCTCTGGTTGTGCACTCTAGTTGTAAAGGAAGCCAGTTCACTTAACAATATTTTTGATGAAGTAAGGAAAGTACTAACTTTAATAAATTTCAACCTTGAAAACAAATCTTTTTAGCCCTTTCCCCATTTTTCTGTGATGCTGGGAATCAAACCTAGGGCCTCAAACATGCTAGATCAGTGCTTTACCACTGAGGTACATCCCTAACCCTCTCGTTTAAATTTTATTTTGAGACAGGCTCTTGCTAAGTTGCCCAAGCTGGCCTTGAATTTTGTGATACTCCTGCCTTAGCCTCCCAAGTAGMTGGGATTATAATTGTGTACCACTGTGCCTGACCTTTTTAGCCACTTTATGATGAAATGATATTTCTGCTGTCCCCTAAGTCCAAAGGCTGCTGTGAGCAATGTACCCAGGCAGCTCTTGGGGCTGGAACTGGACCTGGCGTTTCCCCATGGAACAYTCTTACATAAAGGAGCAACCAATAGACAAACTGGTCATTCCAACCCTGGTGTATGGCATGTACACTCTTGAAAATGAACTAAGTAAGCCTGCCACTTCAAGAAAGACTTACAGTTGTTGTTCCCAATAACAAAACTCAGGCTTTCAAGCAAAAATTATAATCATGGAAAATTTAAATCTGCCACCAAGAGCACCCAGTTCACCCAACACTTAAAAGACTCTTATTGGCCAGCTCAGTATCACAGCACTTGACCAGCAAGTGCCCTGGGTTCCATCCAGAGTTGCGGAAAATAATAAGACTCTTCTGATGAGATTGGTGGTAATAATGATGAATGTGATTTTTTTTTTGATACAGCATAACAAATGATGTCAACATTTGGAAGATCTGTATAACCTCACATTCAATATTTTTCAAACAATCCACAAGTGATATTACAAAATCCAAAGTGTAAGACAGACCAACACATTTCAGTGAAGCAAAATTCAAAAAGCCCACAAACATGGCTTCAGAGTCCACATCATAATATTTTCTTACATGTAAGAAAATGCCACTTTCCCAGCAGCTCGTCGTGAGGATGAAGCAGGAGGATTCCAAGTTCAAAGCCATCATCAGCAACTTAGCAAGATCTTGTCTCAACACAAAACACAAATAAAAACAAAGGGTTGGGTTGGGGACATGGCTCAGAGGTTAAGTGCCTCTAGGTTCAATTCCTAATACCAAAATAAAAAATAAAGAAAGTGCTACTTGGCTCTTCCAAGTCCCTGTTTCCAAGATAAAAAAAAAAAAAAAAAAAGGGCTGGGGTGGCGGGCAGGGTGGAGAGAAAAGGACTAGTCACACAATCTGTTTGCTGTGAACTGCCCAGTCAAGACAGTTGACAAGGTCAAGGACTAGGCCATATATACTTTTTTAAATATTTACTTTTTAGTTGTAGTTGGACACAACACCTTCCTTCCTTCCTTCCTTCCTTCCTTCCTTCCTTCCTTCCTTCCTTCCTTCCTTCCTTCCTTTCTTTCTTTCTTTATGTATTTATTTATTTGTGGTGCTGATGATCGAACCCAGGGCCCCGCACATGCTAGGCAAGCGCTCTACTGCTGAGCCACAACCCTAGCCCCTAGGCCATATTTTTAAAAATATTTTTATTTCATTAAAAATGTTATTGTCAGCCAGGTGCCGTGGAGCACACCTGAAACAATCTCAGTGACTCAGGAGGCTGACTCAAGAGGATGGCAAGTTGGAGGCCAGCCTCAGCAACTTAGAAAGCCTGTCTCAAAATAAAAAATAAAAAGGGCTGGGATGTGGCCCTGGGTTTAATTCCCAGCACCAAAAAAAAAAAAGAAAAAAAAGTTACTGTTGTCAAAATTAATTATTGTTAAATTTCTGAATTTAATTTCTAAAGACAGATATTGACACAAACCCAAACAAAAAAACTCTGGGTCTTCAATATTCACGAGTGGAAGGGGATTCTGAGACCAGAACATTTGAGCACCATTACTCTACACCAAGCTACCTCACGGGCCCCCTTTAGGAAGAAAGCAATGCTGAGCAACTCGCATGAAGTCACTGATGGCTCTGTGGCCCCCTCCTGGGAGAATTTGTGACTTAGAAGAGATAGCAGCTTGAACCAAACCAAATCTGAACACAGCCTCTCACGCAGGGCCTGGGGACCCCTGTGCTCCTTCAGC